CAGCCAGAGAATGGCACTGCCATCAGCACCACAGAAGTGAGTTGGCCTGGTATCCTCCCTTATACATAGCCACCCCAGGGCCCTCTAACACAAGTGCTGGGCTCCTGGACAAGCTGAGGAAGGACAGGGCTTCCTCTGTACATGCCACTTTTGGTCAGACTTACGTCTTGGAATCTCCCCTAGCTGTAGGAATCTGAAAGACTGCTGGCTGGGAGTTCAGGTCTGAAGGGTGTGCTGTTACCAGCAGTGGTGCAGAAGTGAGTATGGCATGGTATTATTCAAATTTCTGTGCTGCTGCTGGTATACTTTTCAGAGCTGGATGGCTGCCCAGTTTTGAAGACAGCAGTGAAGTAGTAAGGGTGGCATTTTGGGTTGTGGCCTTCTTGGCTACAATACTGTGAAATAACAGATTTCAAGATCTGAAAAATGTTCACCATAGTAAAGTCCCATTACTATGAAATTGACCAAAATGAACTGAATTTGATATGGTCCTACTTGTACTCATTTGTATGATTAACATTCCTATCTTTAATACTAAGCGATGATAGAAGGCTGGCTCTGCGAGAATAAAGCTTATAAATTATGCTTCCTTATTACATGGAGTGTGGGAAGAAAATAAATTTAGCTATACAGAGAATTGAGTCTAAAAATTAGGGCACACCTCTTTTCCAGGGGTCCCTAATCCTGCAACTGCTCAAAGTCAAGTAGTTAGTCTCTTGACCTAATGCTTCTCACCATCACCAAGTACAGGCATCTAAAAACTATACAAATGCACTACCTTCTATTAATCCATTAGTATACACTAATGATTACATTTATTCATGAGTCTGAGCCAGTCACACAGTTAAGTCATTTTCTGTAATTAATGTGAAAGACTGTAAGTGTCATTTTGTTTCTATTGTAGGTTCAATCAAGACTGGAACGTATAGCAGCTGTGAAGCCCAGTAATGAATTTTTGAATCAGTAACAGATAATGTCCCGAGTTTTCCTCGTGTACTGTACTTTCCAAAGCTGTTGTAGAACACAAATGTATAAGAAACATCAGTATAGTTCATGTTGGAGTAGAAATTGGGCAAAAAGTAAACATGCTTCTTTAACTTTTATTACATTCATTGGGATTTTTTTTCAGAATTTTATTGTCTATTGTGTTCATGTCCATATCAAGACTGAAAGCTCACTTTAGTCAGAATTGGCATTTAATACTAGATACTGAAGTAGACAGAAGCAAATACCCTGATATTCCATTAGAGGGCAGCCATATCCACTGCTACACTATAATACAAATCTTTCTAAAGTAATCTGTGAAAAGGTATGGAGTATATAAATATCAGTGAAAGCTTTATACAATAATTTTACCTAGATAGTCTCAGCCTTATGGTCACAGAATTTGTTTCCCCTATAACACTGAATTACTTCCTTCTCCTCCCACCCCATCAGAATTCACACTGATTAACTTTATGGCCAACTTGTGAGCATTCTGATATTTTCTGAGGTCTCTCTTGTACAGAGGGTACTGGTCACCATAAACAACACTTTACATCTTTGGTTTGCATAAATATTCTGAAAAGCATTCAACCTTAAAGGAGGGAGGCTACCTGAGGCTTTTTCTTTTCAGATGACTTTGGTCATTAGCTCAGCTGCTATTTAAGTGTTAGCTGTCCTAAAGGAATTTTTCTAGTCTTTGGAAATGAAAGAATGGAACCCAAAACTAATTTTAGTGCATACAATTAGATGAGACAATTCTGCCTTGGTAAATTCATTAACCATAATAATTAAAAGTGGAATTAACTATGAACCCTATACAAGATTTAATCTAAAAACCCTTTTTCTTTAGTGTTACAAAAATACTCATTCATTTTACTATTCAGATACTTTTCCACTTTACATTTTGAAAAAATAGTGGTTATAAATTCAGATTATGGAGATTTTTCTTTTGAATGTATTATGTGTAATTCTGAATCTATATCCTTCAGGTGGTCATACTTATGCATGATTGCAGAAATGTAGAATGAAGGGTATTTTCAACTCAGGAAAATGACTAGTTCTCAAGTATGTAAAGAACTAGTTTTAGTAACAAAGATAATTAGAAAAATATTTAAATTATAGATAAGCATTATCCCACTACTTTATCCCATTAAGTTATATCCATAGTGTGAGTTAACATTTAAGGTTCTGGGAAGTTATCTTCCATCTTTTTTCTCCTTCTTTTCTAGTACTTTATATTCATCCAGCACAGCATAACCAGTCTCTTTAGCAGTTTTCTTCACTATAGCTTTGACACCGATGTTGTCAATATTAAATGCTGTCACACCAACATTGATTGCAGAATTCATAGCATTGTCTGTAGCATGGCCTGCATCATCCCCATACCTGAGGAAACATTTGTAGATATGAGCATACTTTTTAAAGTTTAATACAAATGAGGTTATTTATCCACTCAATTTCACTTGAGCAAATCTCCACACCCACATTGTTCTAAATGTGTTTCAATACTGGGTCTTCACAAGCACGCAGGTACAATGGATTGTAGCAATTCACCCCTCTTGAAATCTTCACTCCCAAAGCAAGGGTTATGCATAGCCCAGGAAAGAACCCAGATCAAGTTTGGCAGAACTTACAAACAGTTACATTACAAATTGCTAAAATTCATTTCAATTATGGCTGCTAATTTGTCACAAGGCTTATTAATCACTTAACTTTTTCTTCAAAAGTGCTAGAATACCAACTACTACTCTGTCCTTTTCTTTCTGCAGTAGTAGTATTGAGGGATGAAAAATCTGACTGTCCCCTTTCAGGCGTGAATAAAGAAAATGGGATATATATTGGAGACAGAACAATAGGAAAAGGACTTCTACTAGTCAGGAAGCCTCAGTCAGAAGATCTCCCTATATGGTTTCCTGGTTTCAGAAGATTCTGGGAAAGGGAGGTATTAGTCCAGTACTCACACACAGGCATCAGTCATGGGCTGTGTTCATGCCCCTTTACAGTGCTTCTATAGCTTAAGTGGGCAGATAAGCAACCACATCTCTCTATATAGAAATTTCTCCAACAGTATAGGGCTAGCATAACACATTTTTGTATTTGATCAACACGGGGGAATGGCTGTTCCAAGTTGCCACACAGCCCCGTGGGACATTGTAGCCATGTACAAAACTAAGAGCAAGCCAGAAATAGTCTTGATGACCCCCAAATTCCAGCTGTGCTAAGCCACCTTTGCTTTAACTTCCAAGCTGAACCTCCTACAAGGCCCAGCACAGAGGACCAGTGTCTAAATCTGTGGTGTCCAACCAATTCTGAAATCAGTCACACTCAGGGTACATCTAGACTACAGGGTTTTGTCGACAAAGCAGCTTGCTTTTTCGACAGAGCTGAATGTGTCTAGACGCTCTTTGTCGACAAGTTTTGTCGACAGATACTGTCGACAAAACCCTGTAGTCTAGATGTACCCTGAGTGTGACTGATTTCAGAATTGGTTGGACACCACAGATTTAGACACTGGTCCTCTGTGCTGGGCCTTGTAGGAGGTTCAGCTTGGAAGTTAAAGCAAAGGTGGCTTAGCACAGCTGGAATTTGGGGGTCATCAAGACTATTTCTGGCTTGCCACTAGCTGCTTCCCCCCAGCAGACCAGGGAGACGCGAAGCTAGCGCGCGCCTACTCCCCCCCCAGCAGACCAGGGAAACGCGGAGCGGCTTTTCTCAGCAGACACCTCAGCTTGAGAATAAAGGACTGAGGGAAGTGAGGTGTGGGAGAATAAAACTGAGCTCTGGAGAAATGTTTGGCTAGAGTTTCCCCTACAATATGTACCAGTTCCAACTTACATACAAATTCAACTTAAGAACAAACCTACAGTCCCTATCTTCTACGTAACCCGGGGACTGCCTGTATAGTTTTGTCGACAAAAGTCCACTTTTGTCGACAAAACTCTGTAGTCTAGACGTACCCTAAGCCAGCCAAATAGCCATATGAGGCTAATAGCTAGCGTGTTGGACATCCTGGGTCTAAATGGTCTCCAGAATATTTTTTTGGAGGGCAGTGGCAGTGTTAGTATTAGATAAGGACTCAGACTTCGGTTCTCCTAACAGAGCAGCCCTGATTAGAGGGCTAGACCTAGCACTGAAACCAACTTGGAATATTCATTAAATATTCTGACAGAGTAGCAGCCTTAAATATGATTATGCTTTAATTTGAAGATCACAGAATTAGTTGCCACCAAAAAGGAGTAAATATTTGCCAGTTTGATTAGTTATTTCACCCTTCACACATTGCTGCAGTATCACTGCAAAAAGTAGCTGCACTGACAGGATTAATCAATATAGCTTTCTTCCTAAACCCTAAATTACAAGATTTGATAAACTGATTCTTCACCCCAGCTCAAAATCTTACACAGTGCCTCAACTGAGAGGGTTTGTGTTTTAAAATGTGTCAAGATGCACTCAGATACTAAGTTGAGGGACACCAGTATAAAAACCTAAGTACTTAGAATCCACTTCACTTGAACCCAAACAGAGCTAGTAGTTCTGCAATTACATTCAAGTCTGGAGCTCCTGTCGTTTGGTGGAAACCTGACAGTGTCCTTTAAATGTCCATTATGCTAAAATTTACTGTTTCTTATAGAAAACAGTTTTGCCACCTAAACTGAAATCAGCGTAAAAAGAGCTCTTGTAATAGTCAAATGCAAGAGATGGGGGAATGCTCAATTATCAAATACTGTAAGTTTTAATTAACTGCAAAATTTAGTTACTTATTGCTTGTCATTCTTAGTGGCTGTTGACAGCTGATCTCCATGTTTTCTATTTTTATATCTAAAATAAAAACAAACATTAATTTGGTTTTAAATGGCAGCAGAGTACTAATACAGCTTCTCCAGCTACTTATTTCTAATAAGCATGTCAGTCCATTAGGAGCAAGATAGCATTAGACAGCCAGATAACAGTAATGCTGTTTTGATTACCATATTTTCCGGCGTATAAGACGACTTTTGATGTTAAAAAACATCCCCCCAAAATCGGGGGTCGTCTTATACGCCGGGTATGCGGCTTTGCAAAGCCTCGGGGGAAGCCGGTGGCAGGGCATCCCAGGCACGCCGGGGCGTCCTCAGAGGCTTTGCTCCCGGTGTCCCTGGTCTGCTGGAGACGGTCCCCAGCAGACCAGGGACACCGGGAGCAAAGCCTCTGAGGACGCCCCGGCGTGCCTGGGATGCCTGCTGGGGACCGTCTCCAGCAGACCAGGGACACCGGGAGCAAAGGAGGCGGAGGGGCGCTGGGGTATAAGACGAAACCCTATCTTTTAACTAAAAAATTAGGGGGTTGTCTTATACGCCCAGTCACCTTATACGCCGGAAAATACGGTAGTCAGTCAGACTTTTCTAAAATAATGCATGGAGCAAATACACAATAAACGCCCTGATGAAATGGATGATTACTTCCACCTATAAGCATGTTTCTCAGACATGCCCAATCTCTAGAGCTGCAAATAGCAATATATGCTAATATTTCAACCGAAGTTCTTGCAGATATTTATAAACAAAATTACTTCATTCTACAAGGTGGGGAGTACAGAAAAGCTCATTTAAAAACACTGTATACAAGATAAAGCTAATGATTTGCTTGCCTATAGGAAGCATGGAATTCTGCTCAGCGCGCAATAAGACTTCATACTTTTTTTAGCTACTTATAAAAAAGACCTATCAGCCTGTTTCCTTTTTCCCCAAAAAAGCATTCCAAGAGTACATTCACAGCTTCCAATCTGAAATGCACCACCAAAGAACTTAAACTTTTCACTAGTGATTTCTATTCCACATTGTTGGTCTGCTCATTGCCTTAGCTGCTTCTGTTTGTATTTACATGTACCACTTATCTGGCTGCTGCTGCTGGTATCTGTCACTGACTCCACTGACACAAGTACCTTTACTGAACCTTCCAGTTCTGACTATGCCAATTATGTTGTTTACCAGATAACCACCTGCTCTCTCATCTCCATCACCATCTTTTCAACATTCCTATTCATATATCCTCTTTGTAATTCTCATCTGTTCAGATAATTTCTACCAGATTTTCTTTCCTTCATGTAGTATAACAATCTCCTAAATCCCTATATTGCTTTTCCCTCCTACTTGTGTCTGGCAACATTTCCACTTTAACTTTAAATGCTCCGCTCAATATCTACTGCTGAGGCCTATATTTTAAGTTTGCTTCTGTAAGTCCCCTTTTATGTTCTCCTTTACACCTATTTGTAGCTGAAATTCCTTAATTGTATATTAGATTAACAAATCTTTAGATAAAGATGACGAACTTTGGTAAACTAAAGCAGTGAAGACTCAAGAGTTAGAAGTGATTACAAGTGAGAAGTATTTTAGTTAAACACAGGATTGTTTAAGCTTTTTTCTCCCCATAAATAATGATGTTGAAATACACACGTCAAAATCTGAATGGGATTTCTAGATGCGTCTTTCAAAGCTGTACTAATTTAGATCACAAAGCTAAAAAATAATGAATCTGTCAGGGACACTTAGTTACATAATCAGATTTAGGTAGAGGGCATGCCTGACACTGTTCACTTGCAAGAAAAATCATTTACTTTATATCTAGTGCAAAGAGATTTTATCCTGTACAGCAAGGCTTACTATAACTTGTAAAATCTAGAAGTTTAATTAGCAGACATGTGTTTGCTATAGTTCATACATACTCCAGTATATTGTAGGAGACAAACTGGTTATAAAGCTGATAAAAATGTATCTTACTTGTGCTTCACAGTGTGAACAGTCTCGGTTGAAACACTTTTAGCAATGCATTTTGCTGCACATTCCAAACCTTGCCATACTGTTGAAAACCCTGTAAAATATAATCAGTTTAAGCCAAAGCTCTGCAAAAAATGACAGTCATGTAGCTTACAGCATGTATTTAGAAGTTGTTTTGTTACCTTGAACTCCACTTGCTGCTACAACCATGGCACCATCAAAAGTGGATTTTCCATCTTTGTCTTTCTTAAGGGAGTCTGGAACCAATTTGCTCCCATGCTTCTTCACATGTGGGGCTAACTCTTTTCCAACAGTGCTTGCTATTGAACACACTCCATCAACTAAACACACAAAAAAGTATTCAGAATAGGACTCAAAGTTCTTGATAAATGGGGAAGGGGGAGTATTTGGTTCATCAAATTCAAAGTTCTATTAAATCTACACCAACATTGCAATTTTATTCCATTCATGAGACAGATAGGCTTCTAAATTCATATTTAGGCACAAATAGAAGAGATTTGATTTTCAGAGATGCTAAGCAGCCCTGGCTCCCATTAAAAAAAAAAAAAAAAAAAGAGAGGAAGGATGGTCTTGTGGTTAAGACATGAAATCAAGATACAAGTTAATTTCCTAATTCTGTCCTACAGCAGGTCTACACTACCACTTATGTTATAACTTACATCACTCAGAAATGTGTGGGGGAAAAAACCCTCCTGAGTGATGCAAATTATGCCAAACTAAGCACCAGTGCGGACAGTGCTACATTGGCAGAAGTTGCTCTCCTAGAGACATAGCTCCTGACTCTTGTGGAGATGGAGTAATTATGTTGATGGAGGAGTTTTCTCCTGTCAGCCTAATGTAGAGCATCAAATAGTGCAGCCGTACCAATGTAGCACTTCTAGTGTAAACTAGCCTATTGACTAGGCCTGGGCAAAATGTCCCGCAGGCCAAATCCAGTCCACCAAGCCACCAGATCAGACCTGTGGACACTGCAGGAAGCCCCAGGCAGTCTCCCTGCTTGCCTCGCCCCACCTGCATGCTACTCAAATGTGGCTGTCAGGCAGTTTCTCTTTAAAAATCTGTGAGCCTGGAGGGGAGGAAGGTTCAGGTGCTGCTTCTGCCCCCAGTACAATCCAACTGGCCAGTGGGAGCTGCCTGTTTGAATAACAGGTTGCCATGAAGTACCACGCCCCTCCGCCTCCTCTCTGGAGTTACTCACAGAGCACAGGGCTATAGCCTGTGTGGGAGCAGGCCAGGCCAGGCCAGGCAGGCAGGCAGCTTCAGAAACTGCTGGGCTTCTGGCTGGTAAGTCTCCTGGCCAGAGCCTGCCTCCGGCATCCCAACCCCTCTCGTCCCCAACCCCTCTGCTCCCCACTCCTGCCCCCTTCTCCACATACCCAAATCCTCTGCCCCCCTCCTGCACCCATATCCCCTCCCAGATCTAGCACTCCAATCCCCTGCACCAGACCATAATCCCCTTCTGCCCTAGCTCACAACCCAACCTCCTGCACCTTAGTCCAGTGCCCCAGGTCACAACCACCTCCTTTACCCAAACTCCCTTCCAGAAACCATACTGCCTCCTGCACCCCAATGCCTTACCCCAAGCTCCCTTCTACACCTAACCTCCATCTCAGATCCCGCACCTTCTCCATTAACATCATGGAAGAGTGCAGCACTCAACCACTTTCAAATTCTTGGAGTGCCCTTCCCCATCAAAAATTATTGCCCACCCCGCTACAGACCAGTGTTTCTTAAAGTGGGCCCGCAGCTCACTTTGAGAAACATCAACAAACTCAGTCTGGGGCAACTCTCAGTGACTCAGTTTTCTATCTGTAAATTGGGACTACCTCCTTGCCATAACTCAGTCTCATTTAGAAAGTTGTAAGCTGGTCAGGAGGACACATATTGTCTCTTAAGTAACCAGCTCTTCCAGGTGGCTATGTAATATCTAACTCACTGGGTCATAAAGGCACTACCATAATAATACAAATAATAAAAAAAATGAAGCTAATAGGCACTGGGGCTGTTCAGCAACTCTGAAGACTAGGTCACTTCTACTGAAATGTTTAAAGTATGAAATTTAGAAGCCTAATTTTATACCCTAGGTTTGAAGAAATACAGAAGTACCAGTACAATGTAGTATTTTAATAGTTGCAGAGACTGAACAGCTGAGTTCAGGGAAAACCTATCATTAATGCCTAAACAAACAAAGTTTTAGCCATTTAATTCAACATGGAAATGCCAATCTAACATTTTAAAGTACATTTAAGATTGCAGAAATATATCAAAGCAATAGGCTTGATCTTTGGGCTCGGGGAAAAAAACTTGCTCTCAAAAGGCCAAATACACAGTGGTTCTCAAACTCCAGTCTGCAGACCACTAGTGATCCGCAGCTGCCTTCCAGGTGGTCTGCAGCTCAAGCTTAGCCTCTCCCTTCCTCCAGCCTTCCTTCTCCCACCACAGCAGGGAGACTGTGCAGGCACTCCTGCCTCCTGCCCCTCTCTCCCTCTTGCAAGGTTGGAGCGCCAGAAGTGGCTTCCCACAGAGGGGAGGTGGAATCCCAAGCCTTGTGGGGAAGAAGTCGAGCCAGAAGCGGATGCAACTTCCGGCTCTGCTAACTGCTACTCCCCCCTCTTCCCCGGATGAGGGGAATAGCAGCACATGGACCCACTGCCTGAAGGCTTTCCCCACTGCTCCAATTTGGGCATAGTGACTGGGAGCAGCACACAAAGGCAGGTAAATTCCCTTCATGCCCAGACCCCGCACCCTCACCCCTTTGAACCACCCCCACTCCTGCGCTTCTCCCATAGCCAGACACCTTATTCCCAGCTTGCTCCTGCACCCTACCTTGCACCCTCACTCCCTTCTGCACACCACATCCTGCATCCCCATCCCTATTCCACTTGCTGGCAGCACTGTCCCTCATTTTTGTCCCTTCCCCAGGGTGTCTACAAAATCCACTAACCCCAGAAGAGTAAATCTGGCCTATGGGAAGCTCTGAACCTCAGTCCTCCCTGTCCCTCCTCCTTGCCCTGTGGAGCTGGAACACCAGAGGAATGAAATGTCTCAGTTGGGGGCCACATCAGTGAAGGTTGGGGGTCCTGGATAGTTTGAAACAACAGGAGTGAAGACGTAACAGGTGGTGAATAAGAATGCTCTGAAGGAAAGTACAAGTGGAGCTACCAAATGTGTCATTAATGCATAAGATGATACATAAGGTGTGTATCATAAATTGTTTCTCTCTTTCTATAAATGTTGGAGTACTTCAACTTAACTCTTTGTCCAGCCTAGAGGGAATAGTAAAATCCATACTATTAACTGAGTCAAATCCATTGTCACGGGTACAAATGCATTGGGGCTTGAAGATCATCTGGCTACTGACAACTACTAATGTACTTTGTTCAACAATAAACCTGACTCAGCTGCCTTCGTATCTTATCTAAGTCTATGGTCTTTGGGTGCTCTCACAAAGTCTATTATGTTAGCTACCTGTGCAATGCTGGCTTGATATATTGAGGGAGCATACGATAACGCATGCAGCCAATTGTTTTATCATCACTGATGGAGCAGGAGACCTGTCAGAATGCCACACCAGTGAATCTTAAATGTAATACATCGCTGCCCTACTACACAAGGGAAACGAGAAGTCCTGTGGCACCTTATAGACTAACATGGCTACCCCCCGACATCCCTCTGACACTACACAAGGGAAGATTTGCATTGAGACAGATGGGCCATGCGCCAAAAAGTTTGAGAACCACAGAAATATAGTGTCACACTTTGGGGCTAATTCTAATCTTACACTAAAGATAACCAGGAGTAACCTTAACTGATTTGTAAGTTAGGTCAGTTTATTAACTCATCTTGGTTCCTGCACTTCAGAAACCCAAGCAACTAGGGTGTCTACTGTATGCACATTCGATACATATTTTTTGTAGATTAGATTGTCTTACCTAAAAATCGGCTGACTTTTACAGCTCCTCCAGTAGCTTGTTTTGCTACATGAAGCCCCTTTGCTACAGTTGGATTTACTTCCAAAGGTTTTTCTTCTGGTTGAATGTGTTCTCGCAATTTGGAAGCTCCTTTGTGTATTGCTTTGCCAGTATATTCTGCTCCCTTGACCAAACTCCAACTCAACCAGGATGCTCCTTCAAAATAAAAAATAATTAACTTATATGTAGTATTTACAGACTGGACTCCTGGTGGTATTTTCTCCTTCCTCCTCCTCCTCCTAACATACCTAACTTATACAGCTATATTGCAAGTGGCAGCAGTACTCCCTTAGTCTTTGGCTTCCCATAGCCACCTTATTATCTCCATCTTGTCTGATTTCAGTCATACTTTTTAACTCCCATCAACCTGCATTTCATACAGACTAGTAGTGAGGTAACCTGCAGCCCGAGGGCAATATGCAGCCTAATGGCATTCTATATGTGGCCAAGAGTGTTTACCATTGTCCACATGCAGGATTGCCAGATTCTGCTGGTTTCCATTTGTGTAGTTTTTCCTCCTCTACTGGTATTACTAAAGTGACACACATATAAAGCAAGGACATGTGAACTGAAGTGCATACTGACTGCACACAACATTGACAGAGCCATACGCCACCTCTCTGCAGCCAATTCAAGGTGCTGCTATGGTTCAATTGGCACACACTGCAAACTCTAGGCCCACAAGTTAGCAAAACTACCCTACCCCAGAAGATTGTCTTTGTCATGACAATTTTGTGGGCCACTGAGATAGACGGCCACTCATGTGGCCCACTCTCTAGTTTAGATTGCCCACTGTTGACCTAGACTGCTCCAGCATCTATGTGATAAAGAGCAGGGGATCATTAGCATTCTGGATGCAATACAGCCCACATGTCACCATTAACTTTTCTGCCAGCCTCTTACACACACACTTGAACAGGAGATAGGAACCACAGGAGAAAACCATGGGAGTAGAGAAACAATTGCCCCCAACTATTTTCTGCATTCTCCAGGAAAAAGCAGTACTGAGTCATTCAAGGGCAGCTGAACTTGTCCCATAAGCAAGTAGTAAGGACAAGGACTTCTCCTGTGACCATATTGTAAGGCCTACAGCCTTCGTCTTCAGCCATATTATGAGAGCAGCAGCCATTAGCCAGGAAGCAGGAAGTCACATCCTCACATTCCATCTAAAATTACATTAAAACAACTTCACCACTGTTGGAGATTATCCACGTCCATTCTGATTTAATTTGTACTGTGTCACACTTCCATCTCTTTTTTGCCTCTCTTTCTCTTAAGCACCCAAGGAAGGGAGTTGTAGCTCACAAAAGCTTATGCTCCCATTCTCTAATAAATCTTTAGTCTTTAAAAGTGCCACTGGACTCCTTGTTTTGACTAAAACAATGTTATATCTAAGGAGCTCTTGTCCTAATAGCACCCATTAATACCAGATAGAAACAGATCTTAAGATGGTTCAAGAAAGCCTAGTTTAATAGCATTCTGACAAATCACTTTGCAATAGTTATGGTTGTGAAACCCTCATTTCTTTATTGTTTTGTCTTTTTCTCTATTGTTTGTATTACCTGCTTGTTTTTTTTGACAGGGTATAGAATCATAGAATACTAGGACTGGAAGGGACCTCGAGAGGTCATCGAGTCTTCGGGCTTGATCCAGTAGGCATGCCATACACAAAACAGAGGCGATAGTAATGTCCCTCTTATACTGTATACCTGGTTAGATAACTCACTCAGGATATGGAAGATCCATGTCTAAATCCCTACTCTGCCAGAGGAGCAGGAACTTCACCCCCAGTCCCCTCCTGACCAGGTGTGGGCCCTAACCACTTGGCTATGTGGTGGTCTGGCGTGGGGATCTCAGTTTTTGTTACTGAAGCTGTTCCACTTTGTATAAAACAGGGATGTTAGTATGTAGTCGATGATAAGATTAACAGATTAGTCTGAGTTGATTGTTTAATCCTAACTACCCCCCCCATGCTACCTCTGTATCAGCTCCATAGAGCCACCTCCCCGCTCCTTGCTGCCTCCTGTAGAGTTGCCACATGCAGAGAGCCTCTGATAGAGGCAACAGCATGGGGTGGGGTGGGATGAGGGGAAAGGAATGCAGGCAGGAGCCAGTACACGCAGGTAATGGCTTTCAAGCTGACTCCGCGTGCTTAACTCGTTCCACAGAGTTAGCTGCCCCTCCTATGTATACATGTAACCAGGGCTCACGGAACCACGGCAAGCCGCGCTGTCTGGCGATCTGCGCATGCGCAGATCACCCGAACCCGGCTCTTCTGGGTTGCAATCTACTCGCCACGGACAAGTAGATTGCATTATTTGTCGAGCCCTGCATGTAACTAAATTTTTCAGCGGTTATATGTTTACACAAATACATGGTAGTTAACATCCCTAGTATAAAATAAATATTTATTAGGCCAGAGAAAGACACTGACTCGACAGTCCAGTGATTAGGGCACTCACCTAGGACATAGGAGACCAGGGTTCAAGTCCAGGTAACTCCTATGCCTTGGAGAGAATACATGGCTATGACTGCTGAGAGAAGGAAAGCAAATGCTCCCCCGCCAGATTTAGGTGCCTAACTCCCTTTGGTGAGCTTGTCACCCAAAATCAAAACATAGTATTAACAGTATTGGTAGAACAATTATGTGAAATAAATCCCTAATTTTGGTAGTACCTGTCAAGATTCCATGGGCTACTTTCTCACTCCACTCAGGTAACTCTTTCTCTCTCTCTTCTCCTTCAGGCTGTGGTTGGATGCGTACAGTCTGAGCCAGGTTAATCACATCACTTGAAGCTTCTAAAGGCTAAGGGATGAAATATATATTCATGAAAATACAGTATTTAGCAAGCTACCAAGTTGTCCTATTTATGGACTTGGGTGGTCCTCATTAACAGCAGCTGAGATAAGGGATGTGAAGGCTAGTCGCTCCCTGCCCCCTCCTGCTGCCTCTATAAGAGGTTTTGTAAGACATGACATTGCATATAGTTGTTAATTATGTCCTCATTTGTACTGTATAAAAAAGTATTTAACTAAATTGTTAACATTACAGACCCTAGTTTGTTTAAAGAAAGAGGTAGAAGAATCAGAGAAGGTCTAGAGAAAAGCAACAAAAATTATTAAAGGTCTAGAAAACATGATCTATGAGGGAAAGCTGAAAGAACTGGGCTTGTTTACTTTACAAAAGAGAAGACTGAGAGGGGACATGATAGCGGTTTTCAAGTATCTAAATGCATATTACAAGGAGGAGAGAGAGAAAAAAAACTGTTCTCCTTGGCCTCTAAGGAGAAAACAAGAAGCAATAGGCTTAAATTGCAGCAAGGGAGGTTTGGGTTGGACATCAGGAAAAACTGTGTCAGAGTGGTTAAGCACGGGAATAAATTGCCATGGGAGGTTGTGGAATCTCCATCTCTGGAGATATTTAAGAAAGGTTAGACAGACATCTTTCAGGGATGGTCTAGACAGCGCTTTGTCCTGCCGTGAGGGTAGGGGACTGGACTAGATGACCTCGAGGTCCCTTCCAGTTCTAGTAGTCTATGAATATTTATTTTTGATTTGATAAAACACTTAAAATGGTCTTAAAAGTTGGTTGCCAACAAAGAGCAAAGTTAAAGATAAATGCGCTCTTCTAAAAAAAGCTTCACTCAAATCCTATTTCAGCATATTGCTCAGAATTCTTGAAATTGAAAAACAGTCCCTTCTCAATGAAATAAATCATTTAGAACTCTGCGATCGCTCACAAGTATGATCAGCCAGTCATTACAGAAAACCAATAAATATTTGCATCTCTTCCTAAATTTTATTTTAACAAAAGATCTCAAGTGGACTCTCTCAGCAACAAATATTAGGTGACTTGGTGAGCAGAAAGAAGAAAGGAGAAAGTATTTGCAAGATCAGGGAATGGGTTACTACGGGCAGATGAAAAATACATCATCATCATACACTGGGAACTGATCATGGACACTGATGACAAATTTACCCCTGACAAATACACAACAACATATAATAAATAGCATATTTTTAGCATTAAACCAAAACCACCAGATTATAAAGTATTAAAAAAAAAGTTTTGCTTTCCTAGTAAATACTGTTTGCAATTATAATTAAATTACTAAATTTGAGCGTATGTATTATTACAAGAGGAAATATCCCTTCTTGAATCCCCCACATCACAAGTCTGTCTCTTGCTGTGTATCCCTTTTGACCCTCTGTTCTATGATTTACATCAGGCTTGATGTCCCTTTTGTTTCCTTCCCACCCCTTTCCCTTGTATTCCCTTATATTTCCCTTGTATTTTGCTGTCTATGGAAAGAATGTCCTCACAATTTGCCAAGCCACTATACCTACTACTTATGTCACAGAAACAGTGATTTCTAATTAAAAAGATGAAAAAAATCTTTCCTTTTAAGTCATCTTCCCATGTTTTGCATGTCATTCTGTTAGAATACAAGCTCTTCAAAACAGGGATTTGCTATTTGTATATACTGAACAACACTAAGTATATTGTGGGCTCTAAATAATTTACACCATTGTCCAGAACAAAACCAATAATCTGATAACATTTTGAATTTGCAGATAACAGGCATCTTGTTCTCCCAGTATTACGACCTCTAAAAATACTTGTTGGAAGGCTAACATTTTGAGAAAATTACTATAAGTGAGATTTTACACACCACATTATAATTGAGGGACTCTATTTTCTCTTTCTTAATTGTGATTTTTCATAAATTAATCATATTTCTTTAAAATGCCTTAACATTTTCATACTCAGCCTCTTCTCCACTGGTCCTTGACCTCCATACAGGCTGACTTACTCTTAGCACTATACAAGAAATAGTCCACAGCAGAACCTTGGAATGTTCTTCATTTTAAATTCCTTCCACAGCTATTCACTGTTGCCATCATCCTTCCAGCAAGTGTTGAGGTGCTACTCAACGTTACCATGTCATCACAAGCAGACTAATTTCGGAATGGAGTTGTGATATTTTCTTAAACAGGAATTCCTTCCCAAGAGTAATCTCTGCAGTTTTTCAAAGCCCTTTCAGATTAAGGGGCAAAATCACAGCCAAAACTCATCTTTGCATTTCTTTTGTGGCAGAGTACACCACCATGACCACAAACTACCACAGAAGCTACACTGGCAGCTTTAAACACTGTAAAATTATACTGGTTACTCAATAACAATTTGCATTTTTTAAATCACTGGTTTAAAAACTCTGCCCTAGAATTTACCTGGACTCTGAGGTCAGACATCTGTTTTAACATATTCTCATAATGTTCTCTGTCAGTTGTTGCGACTTCTGTCGATAATCCTACTCCCTCATGAGATTTTGGCACCTGCATCATCATATCAGGGCACATTAGCAGATTAATGGAATATTTCAATGCCATTCAAGGACCACTATGAATATGTAGTCTGAACTTCTGCATAATACAAACGACAGAATGTCACCCATTAATTTCTGTACTAGGAGGAAATTATTTTCTCCTGCTCTGTAATGACAATGTTACAGAGCCTCACATACAGGATCTTGGGCCAAGATAGTGCTGCATTAAGGTTAACAGGATTTTACATTGGCCAAAGGGAACTACCTGCACATAAGATGCCATAGGACTGGATTCTTCTTGAGCACGACTGAGGCTGCAGTCTTGATGGCAAAAGAAGAGCACATGTTTTAGAAAAGCAACTAGTCTTGACTTACAGGCTTTAAAATGATGACGTACTTACCACTTTCTTTGAAAAGCTGTTCCAAAGATTAATTACCCTGACTTAAGAATTTGCCAATTTGAATTTTTCTAATTTCAAATTTCCACCCCCATTAGAGCTTGTTATTATTTCTTTGTCTGCTAAATTAAAGAGCCTTTTAATATCAGTTATCTTTTCTCTGTATAGGTACTTAGACTGTAGCTAAGTTATTGTCTCAACCTTCTCTGCAGTAAGTTAAGTAGATTCAGCTCTTTAAAACTCTTCTGTTAAAGCATGCTTTCCCATTTTTGACATTCTACTCAAATCATCTGATTTTCAGAGGGGTAGCTTTTGTGGGCAAAACCCACTTCATCAAATGAGCTCATCTGATGAACTAGGACTACTCGTTGCATCTAAATGTTTTTTTTAAATGTAAGCCAAATTCAACAGTAGTCAAGCAACAGTCTCACCAGTACTGCATGCAGAGATAATGGTACCATTCTATTCAACAGTTGCCTGGAGAATCGTATTCGCCGTTTTGGGGAACTCATTCACTTGAATATCCTCTTTCACATTACTGCTTTCCAGCACGTAGTCCCCCATCCTTAAATTTTGCCTACAATAGTTGTTTCTAAATATACGACTTTGTATTTGGCTGTAGTAAAATGCATTTACTCTGCCCAGCTCACAAAGTGGTTACATAACTTCGTTACATAAGACCCCAAAGTTATATAAATTGAACCTCTCTGGTCCAGCTATTCCCAAACTAGGGAATTTGCCAGACCAGGGAGGTCAATGCTGACCCTTCCGCTGCAGGGTTCTGCTCCAGCAGCAGCTGAGGGACTGGCATTGACAGATTGGGGGCACATAGGAAGAAGTGAGGAAGTTTCAGAGCTTCTTCCCCCAAGTAATCCCTTCTCTGTTCCTTCTATCAATCCCCAATCTTGAACATCACAAATCAGCTATTTGCAGTGCTCCAGAAGTGCTGGCAGAGCAGGGGAGGAGTTGCTGGGTGCTGGCCCCAAAGCCTTTCCTGTGACTGTTCCAGCCCTGGAGCACCCATGGATGCCAGACCACAGATGTTGTTAGACAAGGGAAATCCAGATTATAGAGGTTCAACCTGCACCTGTTATGCAGTGATAATCTGTTGTATCTTTTATCCTTGGTTTAAAGCCACTGCCCTAGAATTTACCTGGATTCTGAGGTCAGACATCTGTTTTAACAAATCTTCAAAAAGCTCTCTGTCTGCCGCTGGGAGTTCTGAAGATAGGACTACTCCCACATGGGATCCTGGCACTTGCGACATCACATCAGGGAACATGTAGACTCCAGTATTACAGCACAGAACAGGAGATTGATTGCACATAAGAGGATACAGCCAGTCACAAACCTGAGAATGACAAGTACCTTTAATTGTATAAATAAGCCAAAAGAAATGTCTGTTGAAGGATCTGTACAGATTAGCATCAGACTCCAAGGCTCCCATGTAGTTTTATTACAAAATCCTCAAAGTGATCCTGAAAAGTTTATTGGGATACATCATTCTCGATAGGTTACCAACAAAGTTAAATAAGTAACAAATACAGTTCATTTTCACAGGGCTCTTGTACAGCACAGCAACCTTTTACTGAGACCCAGGAATCCCAGCTTCAGAAGAAGGAGCCTACCATAATGCCAAGCGGGTGCTGGATTTACAGTCCCTCTGCCATTCTGATCCATTCAGCGCAGGCTTACACGACACAGTGTATTTATAAGTATAGTTCCCACTCAGGTGCGTGCCAGTTCTCTTTGCGTGCTGTGTGCAAAAAATTCTTCTCCCACCCACCTCCTTCAGAGAGCTGCACAGACACACTTGGGTGGCAGGCAGCTGCTCCAGTAGGTGGGGTCAGTTGAGACAGTGTGGTAAGGAGCTGCTGGAGCAGGGGGCTGGGACCTATTTCAGTCACGTGGCAGGGGGGAAGGGGCAGGCCTGCTCCGGTGGCTGGGGCTGCCACATTGCTGGGTGGCCAGCGCCTGTTCTGGTGGCTGGGACCAGGAACAGCACCTGCCACATGGCCGTGGGGGGGAGAGGAGGTCTGCTCTGGTGGCGAGGAATGTGTGTGTTCATAAATTGGGTGCCAGGGTGGCACACATCCAAACCAGCACACATGACCTCAACATTGGTGCACAAGCCAAAACCCACTCCTCTCATGGTTGGAAAATCTGAGGGGGAACACTGGCTGCTAGCACTCGTGGACCTGAAACAATGGTGGGAATATTTCCCCCCTGTAAACAAGGCTAAAAAGATCCAAACGAATATCTCAAAGAGAATAAGGTTAGAAACGAGGCTAGAAAAACAGTACTAAAAACATATTAAAAAATAATGCTGCACTGGCAAGGTAGTGGACTAGATAACCTAAAATATCTGTTCTGGGAATGTAAAAATCACATTTAATTGGTTAACCAATTAAGGGGGAAGAGGGTGAGTGCCACTGAGCTGGAGTGGCCCCCAGCCACTTGCAGGGACTGTGCTGATTAAGGGTAAGGCTTACCAGTTAAATAGTTAAACATTCAGATACCTAATCTGTTCTATCCCTCGTTCACATAACTAGGTTGGAATTCAGAACCATGCAGTTATCCACCTAAACTGTACTAACACGTTCAGCTAGAAAGTTAAGTATGTAAGCCATTTTAAAACTGACCTTTCATACACTAATTCAGTTAATGGCAGTATATAATTCAAAAGGTCAAATTTATCTACAAAAGGAAAAAACAATACTGTAATATCAAAAAGTGTTAAAAGCCAACCCATTCCCATTAAAAAAAATCCACTGAAATATCTAGAGTCTTGGAACTCTCAGACGGACACAAAAGCTATTTCTTTATAGACACAAGAGTGTGTTTTAGTGGCATCTATACAATAAATGTACATGCCTCCATTAGCTACTGGTTGTTTCATAGTAACACAATGGTTCATTACAAAACTGTAGCTCATATGCAAAAATTAATACTAGATGCAATGTATTCTAAAATTAAACTTTAGAATTGTTACCTGAAGAAATGCAGGGGGACGATTCTGGGCCATTGCACTATCAGTGTCCAAGAACTTCACAATGCGCAGGTATCCGGGGTATGAAGGAGCACTAACCTGCCCATCAGGAGTCACAAAGAATATCTGTACTCCTTGGGGAATCAGGATCAATTCATCTGCATCTACTCCTAGACTTTCAATGGGAGGAGGCTGATTGCATTTTAAATAGTAGTCCTCTCCAACTGATGAAAATTCCCCTGTGTCTGTACCATAAGATACAGTATAGTGTCCTTCAGTAGCTTGAGGAGTATACACAGGAGGAGCTTCATGTGGTAGAGAGTGAGCTATTGGAGATGAAGGACTCATAGCTGGAAGTTGCCCTTTGCTTGTAGTTGCAACATTTTCATTCACTGCAGGAGGCCCAGATGGTGGAATCAGAGAATTTGGCTCAGGGGGCCTTTCTGGCTTTTCAGTAGTGGGTATCACTGGGTATAACTTGGGCACCTGTTGAGGCATATTCATTGTGATGGTTTGCATAGCAGGGGTATTTTGTTCTAGAATATTCAGTCGAGTTCTAACATTTTGTAAAGTTTCTTGCATCTTTTGCTGCATTTGTCTGGCAGAGTCCCACTGGGATCCTGTACATTCAGGACCTTGTGATGGAATGCTAACTCCTCTAAGCAAGTGGTCAAGTCCTTGCTTGTAGTAGTTCCTTGCTTCTTCCTTTTGACCCAATTCATCTGTATTCAGCCCTTTATTGACTAGCATAAAGGCTTTCTGGAACTCTTCTTTAATAGCTTTAATGTTTGCATCTTCTAGAGTAACAGGATCCTGTTCTTGTTCCATTACTGCAAATTGGAAGATAGTGTTAGCATACTTTCCTGATCCTTATAGGCAGGGCCGGCTCTACGGAGCACAGGGCCCGATTCCGGGGGCGGGGCCGCACATGTGTGGGGCCCTCGGCGGCACGGCGCATGCATTGCGCATCCCAGATGTCACGACACATGAGCAGTGCTCCCAGGGACTCACGCATGCGCAGTTCCCTGGGGGTACAACGCATGCATGGCCCCTCCAGGCGCATGCGCCCGGAACGTCACGACGCATGCGCCTTGCGCCTGGAGGGCCTGCGCAAGCGCTGTGTTCCTGGCTCTCTGCACATGCGCTGTGCTCCCGGCGCAAACATCGCTTCTCTGGGTGCAGGGCCCCATGCTGGGGAATCGGCTGAATCGGCCTAAGGCCGGCCCTGCTTATAGGCCTGTAATAAGAAAGGTGTGCAGTCAATTGTGACACTTCTTGTAAGAAGAAACTTGTTTGGGTTCAAATCAGTATAAAGTCATCATAGTTCAAAGTATCCATACGTGCTGTGCAAAGTCTGACCTTTTTTTATTACATATTTCTGGTTAACCTTTGGATTAGAAAATAAGATTCCAGCTCAGCTCACTGAGGACTCTAACCCTGGATTAATCAGATTTTACGTTAAAGAAATCAACACCTCTGACAGAGAGAAGCTATTGAAAGGGCTTATGTTCCAAAATATTTTATGACAAAAGTGTATTTGCACACACCCTCCATTGCAAAAATTTTGATAGTTTCCCATCTTCATTTACATCAACTCAGCACTTAAGCGCATAAAGTTACAAAAACAACAAAGTGAAACTCCAACAGAATGCAACACTATATATTGCAGCTACTGTTCAAAATATTTTGAATGGAATTATAGTTTCATTCATCTTACTCATAGATTGGGTATACAAATACTGTTTTGTTGTATAAAAAGTTTTTACATGTTCAATTCCAATAACATTCTGGACAAAATCAATTTGTTCATTTTGTACTCCATATTAAAATGGGAGTTTTTATACTATAAAAACTGAGGATGTGGTTACATTAATCAACTGTTTAAATTAGTCATCGTGCTACCTTGCAAGGTTCTGTGCACCCTTGTAGCCCAGGGAACGCAAAGATCTGGAGGGTCTTGCTGGATTTCAGTCCCTGCAGTTGCAGTCTAGGTCAAATATTAAGCCCCAGGAGACAGTGCAGATTCCTGATACAACATTTTTTTTGCATCTTAAAAGTCTTGGCCAGCAGCAACAAGCCACATAAGAGTTTTACATTAAAAATGTGGATTTGTATTTAAAAATCCATCTTAAGTGTTTTATTTTACAAGCCAAATCATTACAACTGAATTGAAAGCGCACAGACGGCGGGGTCCTGGCTTCTCCCCAGCGCAGGGATTCCCACGTGTGGGGCTGGACCCGCCTGCTCCGGGCGAGGGGCAGCCAGGACCCCGACCTCGGCCCCCGCGGCAGCGAGACGCCCGCCGCCCGCTAAGGCACCGACGCGTGGGGGAAGGGAGGAGCTGACGCGGGACTCTCCGCTCCACACGGGGGGACGCTCCAGCCTCCCAGCCAGACCCCGGGGGGGGGGGGCCTTGTCCCCAGCCAGGCACGAAGCTCCCTTCGCCCCCTTCCCCCGCCCGGACCCGCCACTCACGGAACCGGGGTCGCCGGCGACCTGCACCTCCCAGCAACTGCCCTGAGAATCACGTGACCGCCCATCAGCTGCTCCCGTCGGTCACGAGGAGGCTTTTGGGCTCTGAGCGGTTCCGACCGCCAGAGGGAGGCCTCTGCACGCGCCGCGCCCCCCCCCCAGCCCGGAACGAGCGTGGTCGCCATTGGGGGATGAGGGAGGCGTGGTACAGCACGCGACCTCGCGCGTCGTCGTGCATCTGTCGTCATCTGGCATGACATCACAATGCCGCGTGACGTCACTGCAGCACAACCCGTAGGTGCCCTTCTCACCTGGCATCTCAGGGCCGTGAGGGGACAAGCGGTTGGCGTCACAACAGCAGAGGACACGTTACTGCAGGTTCTGCTGAAAGGCTGGGAGGGCTTGTTGGGTGCACAGGGGGAATCTGCAGAGGAGGACACAGAAGCCTACTCTTGGTTGTGGGTGAGGCGGCTGTTTCACGCTCCCATTTGTGTTTTCTTATTGTCAAACTTCCCATGACATTTTCTGTGCATAATAGGGTGACCAGATGTCCCATTTATACAGGGACAGTCAGCATATTCCAAGCTTTGTAATTTACACCACCACACATGCTAGTCATGTAGTTTATAGAAAGTTGGTAATATGCTTTAAGCAGTTTGTGAGTCCATTAATGGCCCTCACTGTTTTCTGTGTTTCATAAGTCATCAGGAACCCTACCAAAGCAGTAGTGTGTATATGTAGTTTGGCCTTGCATGTTATACAGATAATGAACCAACACAACCATTTGTTGTTTTTTTGAGCAAACACAGTTATTTAGACTCCCTGTGCCCATGTGGTTCTTTCATATTGCTGCTATTGTGAAAAAAGCCAAAGACCCAACATTTCCCCAGATCCATTAACAATATGCCAGCAATCTTCATTGTGACTTAATCAAATGTTATTGTGATTATCACCTAATTAAGCATCTGATTAGTGTTACGTGAGTACCAGCAGTGTATTTCATCAACAGTGCCCCAACCAGTGAAAAAAACCCAACCTGTAAATGGTTGCTGTGTGGAGAAGACCTAACTGTATGAAAAGACTAAACAGCTATTAAAAATAACAAACTTTTGAAGTGGAGGGATAAAAAATCTTTTTCTAGGATAATTTCCTCTTTCTATCAGAGAGCAGCAGTCAAATCTTGTAATCATTCACAGATCTGTCCTGAAGCAAAGTGAGGAAATTGCAAGAACATCCCCCTAACAATTTTTTCCAGTCTTATTCTGATTGAACTTAGAATGAACTGGCAGTTTGCTAAATGTGCAAAAAATATTAAGTTTATTTACTCTGAAGTGATAGACTCCGACTACAAATGAGAGTAAGGTCAGTGTACTTTTTAAAAAGTTGGACAGAGCATGACTTTTGGAAACTGACAGCTGGCTGCTAAATGGACATCTTTTTTATCATATTGCACTCCTGCAACTTGCATTTAAATGTATATTTTCTAACCCTGAGAAGATGAGGTTGTTCCTTTTCTAGGATCTACCTATGAATACTGGTTGTGAATTGCTTATGGCTGGTTGTCAGACCTGATTCTCCACTGCTTTGCACTTTGAGTAATCATTCACCCATGAACAAAGTGAATATTGAATACTGGACAAGTGTAAATGACTATACAAGGGCAAGATAGGAGAGAACTGGGCCCATTTTCTCTGACCTCAATTTCTCTCACTTTCAACATTCCTGTTGTCTGTAATTCAGAGCAGTGAAAGTGAAATACTTCGAGACCAGCCCAAAACTGAGTGACATGTGCGAGACACATTGCAAGTGTGGACAAAGTAATTGCAGTGCTTAATTTGTAATGAAAGAAGTGCCAGGGCTTAAGCAAGTTAGTGCTGGGGCTCAAGCAGTTGTTTTAGGGTACGTCTAGACTACCGCGTTTTGTTGACGGACGTTTTGTCGACAGATACTGTCGACAAAACTTCCGTCGACAAAGAGCGTCCAGACACATTGAGTTCTGTCGACAAAGCAAGCTGCTTTGTCGACAGAACTCCGTAGTCTGGACGCAGTGTTACAGGCAATAACACCTTCTGTCGACAGAGTTCTGTCGACAGAAGGTGTTATGCCTTGTAAAATGAGGTATACCAGCGTCGACAAAACTGCTGAGTTCTGTCGACATTATGTCGACAGAACTCAGCGGTAGTGTAGACGCTGGTATAGTTTTGTCGACAAAAGTCCACTTTTGTCGACAAAACTAGGTAGTCTAGACACACCCTTACTTTCATAACTAGAGCCCTGCAAATCTGTGGATATCAGCTTTATATGCACATATGTGGATGTGGATCTCCAGAGATAATTTCTGCAGATGCGGATACAAATTTTGTGTCGCACAAGACTCTATTCATAACTGATGCAGCGACTCTGAAGTGCTGGGGCTGTGAACTACCAAGCCGAGGGGTGCTCAGCCCTTGTGAATCCTGGCACAAATGAAGCACTGAGTAACTGGAGCTATTCAGTATGTTGTAGGAGTCTCACTGTCATGGAGAACAATGCCTTAGAAATAACAGATGCAGGCGGCTCATCAGCTAGATCAGACTGGCTGGAAATTCAACTTGATAACTCAGTTGCATGTAACAGAAGTCATTAGCCCTCCCAACAACAATGTCCAGAACTAGAGCTGGAGAACTGCTTCAGTATAAAAAGAAATACAATCAGGAATATCAAAATGGTACACTGGGACATTTTTAAGTCCAATGTTTTGCTTGTTCCAGCTAGATTCACAACAGGATTTAAATGGCATTCACAAAACCAAGAAGGTTGTGCCTTCCCCTACACAATCCAATAGTACAGTGGGTAGGTGCTTACCTGGGATGTGGGAAAGTCAAGGGGGAATCTCCAGTCTAATGCAGAGACTTGCAAGAAGGTTTCCCCTCTTCCCTAGAGTGTCAGCTATTGGCTATCTTGGAATAGGTCTCTCTCCATTTTGAAGCTGTTCTAGTTTGTATAATTAACTGAAGCAAGAACTGGAAACTGGGCATGCCCTAATTACCAAAGTAAATAGTAATTCTAACTCTCCCTTTGGCCCACTGACTCCTCACTTTTGTGACTGGCATCTAAGTCCCCTTGTGAATCTAACCCTTTGTTTCCAGATTTACTGCTTTTATATAAAAAAAGGGTAAAAACGTGAAATTGAAATGAAATATTTTGTTCTGTCAAAGGAAATGTATCCATGAACCGGACATGGATTTTTTTCAGAATTTTCAATTCCCCAAAAATTCAGATTTTTAAAAATATTTTTGGCACTGCTAATCAGGGTTCCCTCTAAGCTGCATTTCTGCACGGCTGCACGTATGGAATTTAAGGCCTGCCCACCTCACCTGCAGATCTGCGCAGCAGCACTTATTACCACTCACTTTCCTGCTGGACTGGAAGGTGAATGGTTGTGGTGGTGGCCTGGTGGATTCTGTCAGGGCCACATGGCAGCATGTGGCTGCCGTGCCCCCCCCTGCTCTGGCTGGAGCTGGGGTGCGGTGAGGCTGTCTCTGCTGGTGAAGCCTCACCAGTCATGGTTCCAGCTACGGTAGGCGGGATGCCACAGCCCGGCTGGTGGGGCTGCATGGCGGGCGGCGGTAGTTCTGGCAGCCCTGGCTCCAACTGGAGCCACCATATGGCAGGTGGCGGCAGCCGCTCCGGCAGCTGGGGCTGGAGCCGTCGCATGGCCCGAAACCTTTCCCCCTGGCTCTTGGCGGCAGCACTGGCCAGGTAGGCAGCATCCAGCCAGCAGCACTTTCCGCCTTACCCCAGGAGCTGCTGGCCAGCAGCTGGGAGCACTGAGCAACGCAGCTTCAGTTCCCCTCTCACCCATCGGTTGAGGCAGCGGAGCAGCCCAGCCCCAGTCCTTCCTCCCATAAAGAGCTGTGGGTTGGCCAGAGGTTGGGCAGCCCAGCTGTGCTTCCCCCCAATGAGCAGATTCCTGGGAGCTGGGCAGCACAGTCCCCGGCCCACTCTCTGCAAGGAACCTCTAGAGGAATGCTCCAGCTGCCACCTCCTCGACCTCTCAACCCCCATCTTGAGCTCCCCCCTGCCCTGAATCCTGCATCCCCTGGCCCGAGCCCTGGTGCACAAGACAAAACTCATTCCACTGAAGGATGGGAAATCTTGGAATTCTGCTGCTAATGAACAACATCACTCGAAACCCAAACTAGTTATTTGCACAGCTCTGTTCCAAACAGCATTCTGTGAGGGGAAAAAAATTCTAGACTCTTCAAAAGCCAGCTGCAAGAGAAATAGTCTCTTGGCTGCCTTTATAAATAGATAGATCCCGGTAGTGTTATGCCACAGCAAGGCAGAGCTTCACTGAACTGAGCTTAGTTACATATCTTTATTACAGCAGCAATGTGCTTCTTACTTTATTCAGGAGTGACAGAAATTAAAATGCTAATGGAGTATTATGCTGTGCACCTGTGCAGCAACTGGAAGTGAGACTACTTTATTAAAAACTAGCTAATCATTTTCTATAGTCAGAAAAGCTGGGTTGTAGCAGGAAAAGCCAAAGCAATCTCCAGATTTTGCTCCCCTATTCTGGGGAGGCCCATTGTATATATCTTCCACTGCTTACTGGCTAAATAATGGTTGACTCATAAAAATGATAGTAAGTTTCTGAATTGTGAAAAACAGAATCATAGAATCCTTGGGCTGGAAGAGACCTCAGAAGGTCATCGAGTCCAGTGCCCTGACCAACCCCAATTAACTCATCCCAACCAAGGCTTTGTGAAACTGGGACTTAAAAACCTCCCTAAGTAACCCATTCCAGTGCTTCACCACCCTCCTAGTGAAATGGGTTTTCCTAATATCCAACCTCGATCTTCCCTCACTGTAACTTGAGCCATCTGTCATTACTGTTAACAGCCTCTCTCCATTCTCTTTGGAACCTCCCTTCAGGAAGTTGAAGGCTGCTATCAAATCCCCCCTCACTCTTCTCTTCTGTAGACTAAACAAACCCAACTCCCTCAGCCTCTCCTCATAGGTCATATGCTCCAGGCCCCTAATAATTTTGGTCGCCTTCCGCTGGACCCTCTCCAATGCATCCACATCCTTCCTATAGTCGAGGGCCCTACTGTTGACTCATATCCAGCTTCTCAGCAGAGGGAAGCCACAGTCTAAGAATGCCTACCATTCGACCATATTCTGTACTTGATTGTGCAATTATAAATTCAGATTAACTCCATCAAATTTAATATCATTCCAGACGGACACACCTGAAATGAACTCAGAATCTGGCCTTTTATTAGCATGGTATCATAACTGCTAACAACTAAAGCTCTTTACAAACTGTATTTAAGCCTGACAACATCCTTCCCATTGTATGGGGGAGGTGTAGAACAGGGTACAGTATGTCTACCCTTCAGTTAAACACCAACTCATGCCAACTGATTCAGGCTTGCTGGGCTGTGTAATTGCAGTGTGAATTCTCCAACTTAGGTTGCAGCCTAAGCTCTGGGTCACTTCCATCTCACAGGGCCCTAGTCCAAATGTCTACAACACAATTAACAGTCCTGAGCCCCAGTCACCTAGCACAGGCCACCTGCAGGTGTTTAACTACCATGTAGACATACCCACAGAGATCCTGAGATTAAATGACTTGCAAGCCAGTGTATAGAACTGTGGAGTTTCGATTTCCCTTCTCCTGCATTAACCAATAGACTCTATTGAAATATGAAGAGCTGATTTGAGGGTCAATTACACTGAAGATGGTTCAACAAACAAGCTAAAGTGCTGATGTTTATTTCTTTGTTTATTTCTTTATTTCTAACATATATCAGACTAATGTGTCAGAAAAGAGGGAACTTCCAAGGGAAAGTTATTTACACTTTACATGCCTGGAGGCAAATCTGACAGTCCTGACTCATGTGATTAATCCTTAATCATTCATGTAGTCCTATAAACTTCAGTGAGACTACCCATATCAGTGAAAGGTGCATGACTGGGAAAGCTGTATCTCACACCATAACTGTAATTACAAACTGCTTATTTCACACTCATAATTATAGGGAGAAATGAGGCTGCATGCTGACAGCATTTCACCATAAACTGCCTTTGTTGAGAACATGAAATATCAGCACTTTGTCTTCTGGCTTATTCTAGCTGATTCATGCCCCCATCAGTCAGCCACTAGAAAATAAAACTGAACAATATGCATAGTTCCAGTGATGTAAGGTACTGTTAATTTCTTTCTTTTATTTCTCACTGATTTAAAAAGCTTCAGCATTTGTGATAAGTTGAACAGGCAGATTATTTTCTGTTGTCTCTGTCAACAGCAGTTCTCTTACTAACATTGATTCAACTGTGTGTATGTGCATGCATGCGCGCGCACACATGCTCACTCTGATGTTCACAATGTGCCAGCTACGCTGTTACAGAAATGGTGTTGGCAGGGTTATAGTCTCCTGATATACATTCCATAAATAAGAACTAAGCAGGAACACTCCTGGGGGTACTTGAGAGCTGTAGAGAAGAGAGAATGAGGGAATTTTTATGCTTCCTACTGCTAGTAGGAAGCAGGCTGGAGCCCTGAGTGTGGGAGTTCCATTTAGGGCTTTTTGTTTGAATCAATATCTGTTTTGTGGGTAGTAGATTTTCTAAAATCCTCATTGTGATAGTGCAGTCACAGAAGACCCTGGGGGGGGCAGGGGTTCCGGGGTGCTGGCAAGGACATTGACACTTGCCTTCCTGCTCTCTGGGGCTTCTCACCGTTCTGTCCTGCTGGGCCAGCTCCCTGGTCTCCCCCAGCCAAGACACAGAGCTGAGATCAATGACCCCTCCGAGAAGCAGTACAGACACTGAAACCCTTCAGGTCCAAGAAAAATGTAGTTTTGGGCCCAGCCTCCAGGGATGCCACTCCCCAGATGGTATCAGAATCCCAAATGAATTATATAGGTAAGCCCCCTTTAACAATGAAAGGGGGAATATACACACTGATTGCCCCCTCCCTCCCGGTAAAAATTATTTGCACCGGGGTTGATAGAAAATAAAAGTGATTTTATTAAGTAGAATTTAAGTGGTTATAAGTGAGAACAGGCAGAGCAAAGCAGATTACAAACTTAAAATAACAGGAAACACTTAGCTATTTCTACACCAAAACCTCAATACAAACTTACCCTAAAATTGTTCCTTTCCCAGATAAGTCTTCAAACCCAGGGGAAATCTCTTCTCTGAGGTCTTTGGTTCTTTTCCTTGGATGTGCCATGCCAGCCAGCCAAAGACCAATCCTGCTAGTTTTTAAAGATTCCCTTTGGGTGAAACAAAAAACAGGACTATGTAGCACTTTAAAGACTAACAAGATGGTTTATTAGGTGATGAGCTTTCGTGAGCCAGACCCACTTCCTCAGATCAAATAGTGGAAGAAAATTGTCACAACCATATATACCAAAGGATACAATTAAAAAAATGAACGCATATGAAAAGGACAAATCAAATTTCAGAACAGAAGGTGGTGGTGGGGGGGAAGGAGGGAAGGTAAGTGCCTGTGAGCTAATGATATTAGAGTATCAGAGGGGTAGCCGTGTTAGTCTGAATCTGCAAAAGCGACGAGGAGTCCTGTGGCACCTTATAGACTAACTGAAGTGTAGGAGCATAAGCTTTCGTGGGCAAAGACCCACTTCGTCAGATGCATGATATTAGAGGTGATAATTGGGGAAGCTATCTTTGTAATGGGTAAGATAATTGATTGATTCCCTTTGGGTGGGAATTCTGTTTCTACATTCCACCCCTCCAGTTGGGGTTGACGTGTCATTTCCTCAGCCCAAACACTGCTAGGACTTAAGGACAAAAGGCTATTTGCATACAATTGCCCAGACTTTAGAAACACCCTTGATGGCTTTCCATTTACACATTTAAAATCATAAAGCATTCCATATGTCTAACTTTACACACAAGAATGATACATACACCAAAATACGATATATAGATCCTGTGGATTATGTCGTGAAGATTGATAGGTTACATGAGATCATTTGTCCAAAGCACCTTCAACTTATGCATATTTGTGTCCACAAGTTTATTTCATAAAGCATGAGGGAAGGGGTCTGTCACACTCAATATTTAGAGAATAAGTCAACCATAAGCTGTGCAAGATAGGATGAAACTTTCCCCATGAGCATGGGTGATGCTTTTCAGGATACCTAAGACTGTGAATTACTTTGTGGGGATTCTTGCCTATAGTAGCTGAGTGTTAGCTCCCTTATACCACCAGCCTCTCAGCCACTCAATTACTCTTCTCCAACTTATGCCAACCCTGTCTTGCCTGGCAGATTAACCTGTGTCCTTTTGAAACATTTCCCTGACACTGGTTAATCACAGAAATCCCAGATCCTCTTCCCAAATGAGTAGTATACTCCAGTTCAGCAGTTTTACCTCAAACACTACTCTGATATAACACGAAGTACTTCTAACATGAAGGCCTGTTTAAGAGAGAATAACAATTCTGCTCAAAACAACAGAAAGTGATAGAAACAAATGGTTATAATGCACAACAAAATTATAAAATGCTGAGGGCCTATAGTTACCAATAGTTACTTTCCCTATCTAATAAAGTAGCTTTCTCCCCAAAGTTCAGTCCATTGAAGAGCTGATTTCATAGGAATTAAGATCCAATTGTGCATGAAAAATACCCGCTGTACAAGATGCCTCCTCAGCAAATGGATCCAGAGTGTCTCACCCTATTCTGTGTTATATTGAAAGAGTCTTTTGTCTCTATTCATAGGCAGGGTGATCCCATCTCTGTTGTTATGGTCCTTTTATTAACCTCCACGTGGTTTGATTGTTTGCATCTATCTTTTATAGTTTTCCATTGTTCATTCTGTGTTGGCAATGGTAGACCACTGAGCCTTGCATTATCTCCCTGGCTAAGCAGAGAGGGTGGTGACTCCCTCCAGCATAGACAGGCTATCATGGAGTAATATCACTCCCTGGTGTCTCCTTTTAACCTTAAAGACCAAATGGTCATTATTGGGATTCTCTCAGAGATCTCTTTCTACTAAAGCTTCCCAAGAGCGGAATATGATTCCTGTCTCCATCTCTCAGATATCTTTATTTGGCATACAGCAATGATATGCTGAGTTGATCAGACTCAAACACAGAAAGGATGGATGCAGGGTACGTCAAAGCTCCAGAGTTTTACAGAAACTCTCTTTATACACATTTACACAACTGTATATTGTATCGTACATTTTACGATTGGCTTGGTTCTTAACAGGAGCCAATCCCTGTCCAGGTTGGAACTCCCTAGTCTGGCACACTTGTGACCTGACTGGTTTTGGATGAGGGATTTTGCTGGGGCAGGAGAGGTCATTTCTGTTGCTGCCGGCCCCCTCATTTCCTACCACCCCGCTGGGCTTCCTGGCCTCCCCCCTCCTCCCTGCAGTCCAGCTGAGCCTCCACCCCGTCTCCACAGCCCAACTGAGCCCCAAGCCAGCTCCCCCACACACAGCCCAACTGAGTGACGCACTGGGGTTCCTGGATCTCGCTCCCCTCCCCCCCAGCCTAGCTGGGCTGTGCATCGTCCTCCACCTCCCGCATCAACCCAGGCTCTAGCTCCCCCACCCCCTGCAGCATGCTGGGATTCTCTGATCCTGGAACATCCATGGTCTGAAGACCCACGGATGTTGCTGGACCAGAGAGTTCCAGATTATAGAGGTACAACCTGTACTGCATTCTTTTTCCACATGCTGTCCATGTTATGTTGTCTTTATCTCATCTCTATATTTTAACTCATTTTGTTCCTTATTATCTAGTTCATAACCAGTAGTTCCCTGGGTGTTCTCCCTCTTATCCTAGCTGGCTCATACATTCTGTCTTTTTAGCCTACTGACTTATTTACTTTTCTGATTTAGCACATATGTTCTCTTTTTAGCCTGCTGATTAATTTACCTCTCTTATCCTATCTTACAAAGAATGAGGTCTCCGCACAAGTGTTAATTACTCATGTCAAGCCAGGTCTCAGCTCCAGGCATCATATACAACAGAGCTGCAATATTCCTTAAATGTTACCCATACACAGTAGGGATGTTAGATACCATGTAAATGAATAATTGTGTAACCACACAAAATATTATCAGTTGCACGATTATTTGCTAGTCCCCAGGGGTGGGACCGACAAGCAGTGCACTCCCAGATCCACTTCTGGGGAGCCCCCTGCCACCCTGTGCTCCTGCCTCTGTATCAGAGACAGCAGGGCAAAGTGGCAGGCAGGAGTTGGTCCCCAAGGGGAGCCAGTTTAAAAACTGGCTCTCCGTGCACACCAGCTCCCACCTGCCTCCCTGCAAGGCTGCCTCTGATACAGTGGCAGCAGCATGGGGCGGTAACAGCCCCTGACCTTGTGGGGGCCCGAACTCACCATAGAAGAGGCTGCACCAGCATCCAATGGAGTAGCCTCTTACCAGGGCAAAACGGGGCCTGCAATGGACATAAGAACATAAGAACGGCCGTACTGGGTCAGACCAAAGGTCCTTCTAGCCCAGTATCTTGTCTACCAACAGTGGCCAGCACCAGGTGCCCCAGAGAGGGTGGACCAAAGACAATGATCAAGCGATTTGAGTCCTGCCATCTCTCTCCAGCCTCTGACAAACAGAGGCCAAGGACACCATTTTATCCCCTGGCTAATAGCCTTTTATGGACTTAACCTCCATGAAATTATCTAGCTTCTCTTTAAACTCTATTATAGTCCTAGCCTTCACAGCCTCTTCTGGCAAGGAGCTTCGCACCTCTTCTGCCTAGCAAAAACACGCTCCTTTGTGTTTAGGCAGCTAACAAGCAGCTTTATTAATTAATAAAGCACAGCATGAGCCAAACGTGGTCACAGCAGAGCCAGACCCAGTAAGGCTACTAATACAATCAATCCTAGTATCTTTATACCCTTAACCAAACAGTCTGACGTCAGGGCATCCAATTACAGAAATCCTCAATTAAATTTGGAAACACAAAGCCTTATCAACAAGATGGCGGACAGGTGCGAGGGAGTACATCTCCTGTCCCAACCAGCCCAATTAACACATACCAATAGCCCATCCTGTAGGCCTCTTCTCACGGGGTGACAGAAAGTTCACTCTGGTCTACGTGCTTGAGAGAAAAGCTGAAATGGTTTCTGATATACAAGATGGCTTTTAGCTAAACATGAAAATGGTTTCTACAGCTTCTACAGGAGGGAGGGCAGGCAGCTC